CGAACACGAACCCGGCCCCTCCTCATTATCTGCTCCTCCGACCAGCTGCGGCTTCCTGAATTGCCGGCCCTAACCCAATTACGCCGGCAGCAACTCATCTCCTTTCCCTTCCCCGAGCCCCAGCCGGGTTCTTGTTCATGAAGAGAAGGGAGCTGGAGCCTGGGGAAGGGCGGCCTCCACCCCTGCCTCCCGTATCCCAGTACCAGCGCCCCAGCGAGGGGGCCCAGCCCGCAGTGCAGCTCCATGCAGATTTGTAGGGGGGCCAGTGCCAGGCTGGGATCAGGGGCGCCAGGTGTGCCTTTGCTGCCTCCTCTGCACTGTTTTGCACGAGGCTTGTGACTGCCAGGGTCCCCGCCTGTCCCGTTGGTGCACGACAAAGAGATGCTTGCGACTTCCTACCCGTCTCGCCTGGTGATTGTGAATCTTGGGGTTCCTTGCACATTTGCCCAAAAAATGAGGTGCTTGTGAACTCTGTTGCCCCATCTCCCATGATGCTTGTGAACATCCAGGGCCCCATCCACACAGTTTCTCACAAGGAATGCGAGGCTTGTAGATCTGGGGATCTTCCCCCTCCTTGCACGAGAGCGGGGGCACTTGTGAGCCTAGTGTGGTAACGTGTCCCGAGCACGTGTGGATGCCTATGTGGGAGCTATGCCTCCCCTTTCCGTGGCTGCCTTCTCTGCTCCCAGAAATGTGGTGTGGCAGCAATGCCTGCATGGGAATATGGTGGGTGCCTAAATCCCTTGGGCACATGCATGTGCTTTTCTACCCAGTGACTCTTCTGGCTCTGGTAAGCATGGGAGGGAGGCTGGTTGTGGGAACTGTTTGACAGCAGCCCCTTCAGCTTATGTGTCTGTGCTAGGGTCAAGGTCAAGGGGCTTCTGCAGCAGCTTGGACATGGCCCTTCCTGCCTGCCCCATCTCCCCGGAGCTGCCCAGCCAGGACCTCCATGTCTCCAGCTCTATACAGAGCTCGCTAGCTCCCAGGACATGGAGGATCCACCTCTTCCGTGCTCCACCCACAACCTCACAGGCCTCAATTGCCTCCATGTGAGCTGGGACAACTGCGGGCAGACAACTGCTGCAGGCGGGTGTTGAGCCGAGCTGCCCGCCCTGGCCTGAGCACCGATCTCTGGGCAGCTTTGCAGCTGCCACCACTGCAGCTGTAGCAAATGCAACGCTGTAGCATGTCCCCCAGGGAGGGGGTGAGCTGAGGGTGAGGAGCCCTTTGCTTTCATCTCTGCCACCTTCACAGCTCATTTGCACATATGCAAAGCGGACAGATAAGGGTTTCTCTCTGAATGCCCTTCTCCCTCCAGCATGGTTTGTAGGGACTCCTCCCTGGGTTAAACTGGGGAACACCCCGTCATACAACAGGGAGTCCCCATGGCAGAGATCCAGGTGCATGAATCCCAAGCTGTCTAGTGGAGTCATCTTTGTATTGTTGGCGCGGTGGGGCGGACTTTCCATGTCACCCATACGGCCCAAAGTGTGGCTGGGCTTCAGCTGTTGCAAGTCAAAGAGTCCGACCGAGGCAGGTGCTGGGAGCAGCATTCAGGCAGGCTGTCTGGCGGAGAGAGCACACGGCTTCTGTTTGAAAAGCCAGGGCAAGGTAGGGACACGGCTGGGGGCAAAGTCCCACTTGGCAGCGGCTTTGAACGGGGCTGAGCTGTAAAGCAGGTGCAGAGAGCATGGATTTTTCCTCCCTCACTACCCCAAGATCTTGCGTTCCTGTGCTGGAGCGTTAGTGCAGGGGCAATGGCACCGTGACCATCTGGCGTGGGACCAGACACATGGCCATGCCATTGGGGAGCATTTTTGAGAGCAGAAGGGCCTCTTACCTAGCGCCTGGGAATGTGAGTGCCCAAGGGGGCCTGGCCTTGGCATCCCAGTGGTTCCTTCCACCTCTCAAGGCCCTGCAGTCCAGACGTGCTAGTGACCATGTGCACACATTGCCATCAAACCAGTCCGATCTCCCATCCACAGTGGCTGTTATTCCTCTTGCAGTATTTTGCAGCTTGGCGTCAGGCCTTGGTTTGAAACCTCCAAAAGGTTGAAGTTTGCATGGCCTCTGTGATCCGGTTGAATCCCCTAAGCTCTAGGGGGCCCCATGATGTGTCAGGATCGGGGCCCTGGAAGCGCAGGGCTGATACCAACACAGCAGGGGTGCCTGGATATAGGGTCAAGGTGAGGTATTGGGGCTTGGGCCCGCACATAGGATGCTCACCAAGGGATTTGGAAGTATCTGAAGCCCCAGGTTGGGGTGGAGGATGTTTGCTGGTAGCAGGGCTGCATATGGTTCTTGAATGATTCACACGGATTTGGAATTGATTTTGCTGATTTGACTTGGGACGAAAAATTTTCCTTAAAAAAAAAAAAAAGAGCTAAGGGCCCTCAGCTCAGTGGGGGGAAAGCCAAGTAAAACGTGGAGTTCCAGGTCAAGCTGGTGCATTCCTATGGCAGGTTGGCTTGGAGTTTAGTGAGCTGCCGCCAGGCTACAACTCAATGCATTTCTATGGGACATTGATCTAGCATCCAAGGAGCCAGAGGAGAAAGAACAGAGGCTCTGAGGCCATGTCAGTACTGGGGTCTGTTGCACTGAGCCAGCTGTGTTGGGGAATACAGCACTTATGAGTGTGAAACATCAGCGACGTGGGCCTAGCTGGATGTGCACAAGTGAAATGCTGTAGGACCCCCTACAGCTAATGCTGTAGCTACAGGGACCGTTTCCCCATGCGCATGAAATCCCCAAGCCCCTGGGCCACGGTTCTGGGCTGGGAGTGTTCTGGGTGCACGTGGGACCTGGAGGATGCTCTGGTTGCACGTAGCTGGTATCGCTTCCTCCCCTGATGGCTTCAGTCGCTCTCTTCCAGCAATGCCAAGAAGGAAGAGGACCTGCTGTTCACCCAGTCCTGCCTCAGGGACCTGGAAGCCCAGCTCAACTCCAAAGAGGCAGTCCTCACCACCGCCCTGGGTGAGAAGAGGAACCTGGAGAATGAAGTCCGGGAGCTGAGGACACAAGTAGCCAACGTGAGTGATGCCAGCCCTGTCCTATAATGCCCTAGGGTGCCCTAGGGGTCAGGGCTGCTGGGACGCCATTGCCCTGGGGTGGGGGAGTCAGCCAGCGCCAAGGCTGATCTCTGCACTTGATTGGGGACAAGTTATGCAAAGCAAGGGCATGCATATGCATAGCATGAAAATGAAATGATGCCAGGGTGCAGGTTCCCAGCCCAAAAGCATGCCCAGGCCTGCTGTGTCAGGGACCCCAGTGCCTCCCCCCATCACTCCCTGCTTCTCTCCCCAGCTGGAAGCTGCCCTGAACGAGGCCAAGGAGCAGCTGCACGAGGAGACGCTCCGGCGTATGGGCACTGAGAACCAGCTGCAGACACTCAAGGAGGAGCTGGATTTCCAGAAGAACTTGTGGAGCAAGGTGGGTCGGGCTGGGCCAGGCTAAGGAGGGACCTCAGGGGCTGCATCGGGGGATCCCGGGGCTCATGTGCCCGCTTCTCCATCCCCAGGAGCTGCAAGAGACCAAGCGGCGCCATGAGACACATCTGGTGGAGATCGACAAGGGGCGGCAGCAGGAGTTCAAGAGCAAGCTGTCCGAGGCGCTGCATGACCTGCGGGCCGAGCATGAGGCCCAAGTCAAACTCTACAAGGAGGAGCTGGAGAAGACCTACAGCGCCAAGGTACCGGGGGAAGGAGGGGGTCCAGGACACCTGGGTTCTGTACCCACCCCTGCCGCTAACTCTAGGTGGATGTGGGATCCAGGATGCCTGGGTCCTATTCCCACCCCTGCCCCTGGCTTTCAGTGCAGCCCTACCCATGTCACCCCAGCCTCCCCTGCCATGTCCAAGTTTCCTTCCTGGGGCTATTTCCCCAGGGCTTGGTGCCTTCCCCTCCTTTCCCCACAGAGCCAATATTTCCCCCTGCTCTGAGTGCCAGGATGTGTCTCCCTGATATGAGTGCCCTGGCTGGCCCAGAGCCCCTGGCACTGCCACAGGTGCCTGCTGTGACTCAGATTCCCCATCTCAAAAGTCAGAGGCTTCTGGGCCCTTCCCTCCCCTTCGCCCCAGCAACCCTCGGCAGGGCCCCTTCCACTACCCCCCACAACCAGTGGCAATTAACTCCTTGGCTTCCAGCTGGAGAATGCCAGGCAGTCGGCAGAGAGGAACAGCAACACGGCGGGTGCCGCCCATGAGGAGCTGCAGCAATGCCACATCCGCATTGACAGCCTCTCGGCTCAGCTCAGTCAGCTCCAGAAGCAGGTGAGACCTGCCCCCCCTCCACTGCATCTGTCCATCCAACCCACCCCATGTACCACCAGCTCCCCACTGTGACCACGTCAGGCCACGACCTGCTGCTCCACTTGCCCCTCTTTCCTGATGTCTTGGTTTCGTTTATAGCCTGGCTCAGGATCCGGGCACCCCAAGTGCAGCTGTGTCCCCCCACGAGCTCAGGGGGAGTTTGCCCCATGGACCGAGCCCCTGGTGTGCCTCGTGTTGCCCTCAACCCTGTGCCCTCTGTCCCCAGCTGACAGCCAAGGAGGCCAAGCTCCACGACCTGGAGGACGCGCTGACACAGGAGCGGGATACCAGCCGCCACATCCTGGCCGACAAGGAGCGGGAGATGGCTGACATGCGGGCACGCATGCAGCAGCAGCTGGACGAGTACCAGGAGCTGCTGGGCATCAAAGTGGCCCTGGACATGGAGATCCTTGCCTACCGCAAGCTGCTGGAGGGCGAGGAGGAGAGGTGTGGGCGCCTGGCGCTGGGGGTGGGGGTCAAATGGGGGTGGGGTAAAGGAGAGTGGTGGGCGTGGCCAAAGCACGGGAAGGATCTAGTTGAGGGTGGGGCCAAGGAGTGTGGAGATGTGGCCAAAGTGGGGAGGGGTCTAGTTGGGGGGTGTGGCCAAGGAGGATGGGAAGAAGCCATGCTAGGGGTGTGGCCAATGATTGTGGGGGAGGAACCTAGCCTGGTGTGGCCAAAGAGTGGGGGGAAAGGCCTGTGGTAGGTGTGGCTAAGGCAAGTAGAGGGAGGAGCCTGGTTGGGGTGCGGCCAGAGTGGGGGAAGGGCTTGGTTAAGGAGACCCTGATGGGGGTGTGGCCAAGGAGAGTGAGGAGGGGACTGGTTGGGGATTGGAGGGAGCCTAGTTGGGGGCAAGGCCAATGCCAATATGGGAGGAACCTAGCTGGGGGCATGGCCGGAGAGGGCGTGGGGAGGAGGGCCTCCTTGGGGCGTGGCCAAGGAGGCTGTTGGGGATTGGAAGGAATCTAGTTGACGGTGTGGCCAATGCAGAGGGGGAGGAGCTGGGTTGGGGTGTGGCTGAGTCTTGGCCCCACCCCTCCTGGCCCTGCCCTTGCCCTCACCACCCGCCCTCCGCCCCACAGGCTGCACTTGTCCCCCAGCCCCAGCCCGTCACGCAAGAAGCGCAAGCTGGAGTTTGGCAAGCGCCCCAACTGCATCACACGCCACATGCGCACCAGTGGGCCTGTGGCCATCGAGGAGGTCGACCTGGACGGCAAGTTCGTGCGGCTCAAGAACAAGTCGAACGAGGTAGGGCCAGGCACTGAGCGATGCCCGCTGCGCCGCCCCTGCCAGGCAGACCCAGGCTAGGCCTGAGGCTGGATGGGAGACTCCCCACTTAACCCACCCCCCTCCCTTCTGCCTCACAGGATCAGGCCCTGGGGAACTGGCAGATCAAGCGCCAGAACGGAGAAGATCCCGTCATCTCCTACCGCTTCCCTCCCAGATTTACCCTGAAGGCTGACCAGGTGGTCACGGTGAGTTGCGAATGCTGTTCTCAATTAAAGGGTTCATGCCCAGAGGCTCTGGTGCCCGGTTCTCAGCTGGCCTGTGCTGAGCAAAGCCAACCCAGATGGGATGGGGTGCTCAGAGCATCATCGACAGTGAGTGTTGGGAGGGACGTCAGGAAGTTGCATCTGGTCCAACCCCCTGCGCAAAGCAGCACCACCCCCAACTCCATCATCCCAGCCAGGGCTTTGTTCAGCCAGGTCTTTAAAATCCTCCAAGGATGGAGACTCCCCCACCTCTCTGGGCAACCTGTTCCAGTGCTTCATCACTCTCCTGGTGAGAGTTTTTCCTAATATCCAAACTAAACCTCTCTTGCTGCAACTGGAGCTCATTGCTCCTCGTTCTGCCATCTGCCACCACTGAGAACAGGAGAGCCTCGTTTATCTGACACTGGGATTCGAACCCAGAATGCACAGAACAAAAAGTCAAGGCGTGGTCTGTGGGAAATCCCTTTCCTTTTAGGTGTCAGACTCTTAGCCTCCTCAGTGGGCTCCTGGGGAAGACCTACGTGCTCTCTAGGAAGGAGGTAGGGAGGGTGGTTATGATCCCGTCAGCACTACTGGCACGAGGTGTGACTGTTCTCTGCCCATGTTCCCCGTAGATCTGGGGCTCGGGGGCCGGTGCAACCCACAGCCCTCGCACGGACTTGGTGTGGAAGGCTCAGAGCTCATGGGGCACCGGAGACAGCCTGCAGACTGCCTTGATCAACTCCAACGGACAGGTGAGATGGCGGGAGAGCCTGGCGGGGACTGGTTCTTTGTATGCCAGGCACAAGCAGGGATGAATGGAGGGGGTGTGTGACCCTTGTGGGGTCTCTGAGGCTGTGGCTGCCTCCTGACCTCACCTCCTGCCCCCTTCCCCTGCAGGAGGTGGCCATGAGGAAGCTGGTGTGCACTATGATCAGCGACGAGGATGAAGACGATGATGAGGAGGGCATGCACCACCACCGCCACCAGCATGTGAGTGCCACGCGCTGGGAGCGGGGGTGGGGCACAGCAGGATGGGGAGACTTGGCCTGGGGCTCCCAGATGATGGATGGACCGTGCCAGGGCCACACGCTGGGATGGGGAAGCCCCCATCCCCTCCCAGCCTGCTGACAACAAGGAAGGAGAAGCAGGATGAGGTCCATCAAGAGGTTCTCTGCATGGAAGAACCACCACCAGCCATGCTGAGGGCAGAGGACACAGGCTTTGCTCTGGAGCATGATGATGCTGGTTTGGGTAGAAGCTGAGCTGCAGGAGATGACCCCGTTATGATAGAAACAAAGCTGAGGGCGCTAGCAGGGCAGAGAGTCCAGAGCCAGCTGGGGATGGTGGCTTCAAGCAAAGACCAGCGCCTCATGGGACGATCCTCCAAGCTAGATGCCTTGTTTGGTTACCGATGTAGTCGGTCCCCTCCTGGCTAAACTCAGCACACGCCAGCATCTGTCCCAGCAGGATAACCCATGGCTTCTCCTACTGACCCTTCGGGGCTGGGTTTGCCACAGGTGCAACAACAGGATCCCATGCAAGAGTGCATTGCGTGCACTATCACCCAGCACAATCCAAGCCCAAGAGCAAGGTTTGAAGGAGCTCGCAATGGGAAGATGTTGTGCGGTCAGGCTGAGCGGGGCTGGTGATGACCACCCACAAGCCCTTGATGTCCTCGATGCACCAGGCAGCCTTCAAATGAATTGCAGCCCTGACTGCAGAAGCAAGATGGCTGTTTTGTTATAGAACAGGCCTGAATCAATGCCCCCCATATAGCCAGGAGAGTGAAGCTGTCTCCCAGCCATGCTTGTAGAGGGGAACTTAAGCTATCCGCCCATTCATATCCAAGTTGCGGTTATGTGTAGAAATGCCTCCACACATCATGTTACTGGGGTAAAAATAAAACCCTAGACCAAGACTCTTCCATCAAACCAGGAGGCAAGAAGGGATCTCCTCCAGCACCAGGGAAGGCTAATTCCTGCTCATGGGGACCCCCTCAGCAGCTTTCTTGGGGTGGGTGGGACAGGGTGGGTGCTGCTGGCTGTAAGAATAACCCTGGAGAAGGGTGGTGTTTCCTCAACACAAGGTCCTCTGCTCCTCTCCAGGAAGTGCTCAGGGTGGCCGTATCTCTCTTTCACCTTTATCCAGGCCCATAGCAGCGGGACCCAGAATGCCGGCACCCCGTCCTCAGGCTCGTGCACCCCTCGTGTCAACATCACCCGCCGCTGCCGCAGGGTTGCAGGTCCCAGCGTCAGCACAAGTGGCCTGGGTGAAAACCCGATGACCAGGGCCTAAATGCTGGGGAAAGCCAGCCCACGCAGGCAGGTCAGTGTGGTAGGGAGCAGCAGGGGGCTCGAGGAACCCGGGTGTCCGGAGTGCTGGACCAACGGGTATCGTGCCTGTGTGGGCTGCAGTGAGTAGAAACCAGCCCTCTTTTGAGTGCAGCAGGTCCAGAGAGGAGAAGACTGAGGTGGGATTTGATAAAAGTCCTCAAATAATCAACAGTGCCCTTGTTGGCAAGAAGGCTAACTACAGAAAGGAGGTGGACAAGTTGGAGAGAGTCCAGTGGAGGGCAGTGAAAATGGTTGAGGGGCTGGGGGACAGGACTTGTGAGGAGAGGCTGAGGGACCTGGGCTGATTTAGCATGGAGAAGAGAAGACTGAGCGGGGTTGAATAGCAGCCCTCAACTCCCCGCAGGGGGGTTGCAAAGAGGATGGAGCTGGACTGTTCTCAGTGGGGGCAGATGACAGAGCAAGGAGCAATTGGCTCCACTCACAGCAAGGGAGGTTTAGGCTGGATATTAGGAAAAATGTTCTCACTAGGAAGGTGGTGAAGCACTGGAACAGGTTCCCCAGAGAGGTGGTGGAGTCTCCATCTTTTTTAAACCTGGGGTAGACAAAGCCCTGGCTGGGATGATGTAGCTGGGGCCGGTCCTGCTTGGAGCAGGGGCTTGGACTAGATGTGACCTCCCGAGGTCCCTTCCAACCTTAATTTTCTGTGATTCTATGAAATACCTGAAGGGCAATGACAGCGAAGGTGGAGATGGGCCTTTCTATGTGGCTGTAGGGGTGAGTTTAAGTGCAATAGCCTCAAGCTGCAGCAGGGGGACCTGAGGTTGGAGATGAGAAGGATCTTGCTGGCTCTGGGGTGGTTGAGCCGTGGAGCAGGTGGAGCAGCCCTCCACCTGGAAATGTCCAAGAGCAGGTTGGACAGACACTGGGCTGGGAGGATTGAGTTAGGCCTTATCCTGCCTTGACTAGATGTGACTTCATGCGGTCCTTTCCAGCCCCTTTCTTTGCTCCTAATTAATTGACAGCTAGATTGTTACTAGCTGAAGATTCAATTAATAATATTTAATTACTATTATTACCACAATATCCTACCACGAATGTGCCAGCTTGCCAGGGTTATCGATGCTGCATTTCATTTGTAAAGTGGAGAGAGTTAGGCTGATTTCTGTGATGAAAGCAAAGATCTCTTATTAGTGGATCTGAGTATTTCTACTTTGTGTTTTTAATGTGCTGGAATAATCAACTACTTCTCTGTCTGGTATCTGCTATCTGCAGCCTTTATCACTTATATATATAATTTTTATTTTTTTTTCCTCTTTTCTTTTCCAGGCTCCTCAAAGTTGCAGCATCATCCATCCTTGCCAAAAAAATTTTCCGTAACAAATTATTCTTCCCCTAAAGCAAAAGTACCTTTTCCTGCCTGTCCCTTCCCCTCTTTTGAAAACAAACCAAGAAAGGTTGGGATTTTTTGTTTTGTTCTCGACCACAGAAATATAATGCAAAATGACAGTTTGATTTTTTTTTAAAGAAAGAAAATCTATTTTTATAGGTAAAAAAAACCACACCAACAAGAGCTTTTTCAGCTGCTGCATCTTTTTAAACGCTGAAGCCAAAGAAGTCAACGAATGATGGTTGTCAAAAAAAGAGAGAGGAAAAAAAAATTGGTCGTTTAATAGCTCTTTAGATGTATATTTTTGCCAAAGGTTTTTATATAGGAGTTTGATGTAAAGCCATTTGAGATGTGCCCCCGTGCCTGTAAGTATCTTGGGGAAGGGGGCTGTGTTGCTCTACAAAGCCATGTGTTCGACCTGAAAGCAAAGCTCATTTCAAACTAGCGGGATGAGCTTTGGTTTAGGTAAATTGTGTTTTGAAAAGGGAAATCCAGTCCCTGAGGCTCGATTGTCCTGTGCACTAAGGCTCCTGCACCCCACTCTCACGGGAATCATCTGTGAGTGTCCCGGGGGGCCCAGATCCTCCTATTTTCCCATCACTTTCTGCACTGAGGGGTGTGCCCAAGAGGCCTGAATGATGTTCTCATTGATTTCCCATTGGTCTTATACCCGGGGCATTACCTCCCGACCCACCTTGTCCTGCCTTCTGTGCTTACTCCCATTGCTCCCTGCTCTTGCCATGGGAAAGACTCATTTTTTTCATACTGTATTACTCATCTGAGGCATTAGTTGTTTATATAGATATATAGGTAGATGAATAAGCAGCCACGTCGTGCCTTAAAAGGGGCGGTGTCGAGCGCAAGAGGAAGGAGAGAGCTTGTCTAGAGAGAGACAGAGCTGGCTTGTAGCTTAGGGTCTGCAGTCGAGACCAGACAAGGGCAACGGGACGTTAAAAGCGATGCAGAGTTTCCAAACATGCTTGTTGCTAGTCCAGGGACTGGGGCCGCCCCACACCTATCTCCTGCCTTCAACAGGAGGTTGGGGGTCTGCCTAGGGGGACAGGAGCTGGACCCCAAGCCTATTCTGGACCTGAGGGCTCATAAGGAGTGCAGGAGACCGTTTCCCCCTCTGATTTTTTTGTATCACTATTTTGAGATGGGTCCAGACATTCCAACAGGGCCCAGCCAGTCTCCAACACCCAGCTGCCTTCAGCGGCACACACTTTGTATGTGCGGCACTGTTAAAGGAAGCTCACCATGCACCACTCCCTGCCCAGCACTGGGTCCAGCCGCCTACTCCATTGCCTTGTCCCTGCCCGCCCCCAAGATCAACACTAAGGTCAGCCCAGTGGAGCCCTTCTTTGTCTCCCAGAGAAGACGCCATTTGCTGATAGCCGCCACCCCGGCTCTATTCCCGCTTTTCTGCATCTCGCTCAGTGGAAATGTTAGCGATGTTCCTGTTCTTCCTCCCCAAATCAATACACGAGGAATCCTGCCCAGCCCGTGTCCTGTCGTGATTTTGTAGGGGGCTGGGGTTAGTGAAAGGAGCAGGTGATGCTCTTGGGTCCTGCATGGGAGGCTGCTGGGCAGCATGGAGGGAGCCTCGGGCTTGGGGTAGCAGTGGGTGGGTGCAAGGGGCATTGGCAGAGCTGTGGGGAGGGGCAACCAGGACTGGACTAGGGAATTAGGGGCACCGGAGCCCCCCAGGGCAGCTTGTAGTTAGACCCAGGGGAAGAGGTTGACCCAGGGAGGAGCAGGGGCTGGGATCCCCCCAGCAGCACCTGGAGGAGGCCTTCCTGCAGAGGGGATCTGGTGCTGACCTGGGTATGACTCCCCCACAACCCCTCCCACAGCCTCAGGAGGGCTGGGATTGTGTCCTATGGGGGGGGAAATGCACAGCCCCAGTCACCAACTGGGGAGTACTGGAATGGGGCAGGACCTAAAAGCAGCCATTCACTGCCCTCCACTCTCCTGTAGCTTGCATTCGTAGGGCTGGGGCCTCTGCTGTATGCTCGCCCCCTCCATGTAGTGACCTCTTACATGCTCTCCCCTTCCTCTGGGCTGTTTCTGGAGGGTGCCAGGGCTCCACGGAGCCAGGGGGCTCTCTCGGGAGCTGATTGGGGCCTGGAGCACCCAGGTTTGGGGGAAGAGGAAACCCCCCAGGACTGGAAGTGAGGGGTTGGGGAAGGAACAGCAAACCCCTCTGGTTCACTGTGTCACCCCCTATTACTTCACACACCAATCTGTGCCCCTCACCATGCACTTCCCTGCTGCAGGCGCTAGGTGTCACCAGCTCACTTCTGATGGCGGCACCAGGACATGGCCTTGACCTTGGCAAAGCCAGTGAGCGCCCATCCAGCCCGGATGCTCCCCAGGGGTGAATGGCACTGCCCAGGCGCCCGCAGGCTGCAGCTCCTGTCCTCCACTTCCCCAGCTATACGTGCCCTGTGGGGCTAAGTGACTTGCCCAGGACCGTACAGCAAAGCGGTGGCAGTCCAGGCTCCTGCCTGCCCGGGCATTAACAGCTATGATTTGCACTGCATCTTCGCACAGGTTCCTCAAGTTTCCTAAAGGCTTGTTAGGACATCCCCCCACTCCCCCAGGCTGCAGTCAGAGGTGCTGCTGGGGGGATCTGAGCCCCTGGGCGGCCTGGGCTGGGGTGATTGCCCTGGACAGCCCTGCATGAAGGTTGTCGGATCCATGCGAGGGGCTGTCTCTTCTCTAGGCAACCCCTGGGGATTGAGGTTGGCGGGTTGAGGCTTATTTCTGTGGGGGGCACCACATCCCTGCCCAGCCTGGGGGAGGCTTTGCTGAGCCCGGGAGTGATGCACGTCCCAGAGGCCTAGAGGTGGTCTGTCCACCAGGCCTGCGGACAAGCCCTGGTTCCCCCCCGC